GGGGGGGGGGGGGGGGGGGGGGGGGGGGGGGGGGTGAGGACGCCTGTACACAACCTGTACACAAAGGCTACGCAATGAGCTATTGACACTCCCTACCCCTAAGGGCCGGGTTATACCCAGGGTTTGTGCGAAATTTGAATTCAGATTTAAAAGTTTACACAGCTCTTTTTGTTTACAATTTGGTGATTGGATGCCCTAAAAGGAGAGAGGAAATTATCCGATTAAAGGCTTTTGATAAAAAGAAAAAGAAACCCGGGTTAAAATCTAACCAAGTCCTTGGGACAATACTGCAATATTCATATTTTTCTGTTATTTCTCGGTTCCCTGTGAAAGCAGTGCAACGTTATCGAAATTTTCTTGTAGTTCTCCCTCCACCACCCTATACAAAGTTGAAACTCGGAAAAAAATTCTGGATACCCGCGTCCAATATTGTTTGTAGGGTGAGGGGAGGGGTTGGACCTGTGTGAATTGGAAAACGCCCCAGAAACGCAAAAGTGTCCCAAGGCTTTTGTCCATTATTGTCTGAAAAAGAGGTGGGAAGAAAAAAAGGCAAGTTTGAGGGGTTTTCAAGCCTGTAACAGCGTGACCCCGGGATTCTGATGAAAGATCGTAATTCTTAGCTTTTCGGAGTTTTCTGAACGTATTTTAAGAATTCGTTCTAAACGAATGATATACTAACCTGAATTTCATCCGATTACTTCGAGTCGTTATTACTCCCTCAGTAAGAGGAGAGGAGAAAACGACTCGAAGCAATCGGATGAATTTCAGGCTAATGATATACACCAGAAATTGTGGAATCTTTATTCCAAAGGATTAGCGCAGTAGTCTGTCTCAAAATATCTGTTCTTTAGGCAACTTTTTGCTGGCTGAGAGATTTTGAAAAAATAATATCTCCTTGGAAGGAAAGTGTTGCCGGGAAAAAGAGAAACGGAGAGTGAGTAAGTAAAAGCTTTATTAATGTGTCAATGTATTTAGCTTTCACAACTAATTGGGGACACAAAAATAAAAATTATTTACAATAAGAAATAATAATAATAATAATGTATATACAATTAAAATATGTAGCCTGTATAAATTGTATAATAAAACAATAGTTATATAAAAGGTAGTCTCTAAATATTACAAAGGTTGCAGCAGCTATTGTTGTTGTTTAAGAGTGACGTTAGGTCTTTTTTCCTAATGTTCTTTAATTTTTTTGAAAGATTCAATATTCGAGGAGCCTTTCAATTTAATATCTAGTTTCGACCATATATGAGGTCCTTGATATCTAATAAGAGAATGCTTTCCATAGTTAATAGTGTTAAAAGTTGGAATATCAAAATCACTGTTTCTTAGTGAATAACTAATGCTTTTCTGCTTAAATAGTTCGTTAACAATACTCGGTGTGAGGCCATATTTTACTTTGTACATTAATATAGCGATACCTTGTAGTCTTCGATTTAGTAGTGAAGGTAGCTCTGCACGAACCAGAAGGTTTTCGTATGATTCTGAATGGGAGTTAAATACTGCTCTAAGTGCGCGTTCTTAAATCCGCTCTATTTTTCTACTGTCAGAAGATCTACAGTTATGCCATACCAGATGGCAATATGTTAAGTGAGTGAGTGAGTGAGTGAGTGAGTGAGAGTGCCTAAGAGGATTTGATGTCTAAAATAGCTGCTATGTGCTATTTCTCAGAAACCTCTTTACATTTAATTACAGACCAAAAGAATCAAACTGAATTTGCTTTTTAAGCTTTTATATCTGAATTCAAAATTCGCACTAACCCTGGGTTATCTTATCCCTGCTTTGAACAACCCGGCTGCAGCTGATCACAGGTTACTGTCTCTAGTCAAAGGCTCAAACCACTTAAACCTGAACAAAAGTCGAAAATAACAAAATAAACTTGAATGATAAACTTTTTTCCCAGTAACATTTCCTGATCTGCCCACTGATTCACTATTGACTTGAATATCAGTGGTCTTAGCTGTAACTTTCTGT